CCCGGACATGTCCGGGAAAATCCGGACGTATGGTAACCCTACGTAGGTGGAACACATTGGTGGTGACACTAGTGAATGCTGCAGTCAGTGCTGGGGGAGCGGGGGTCTCTTATTCTGGACAGCAGGTGGGGCTGGGAGCCTGTCTCCTGCTCAGGGGCTGAGGGTGAAATACTGGCCTTTTGCAGTAAAGGTTAGTTTTGCCTTTGGTATCGACAGGGCCAGCACTCATGTCACCCTGTGTCTATGGTGCCCCGGGCTAGTGCAGAACCAGGCTGGGGAAGGGCCGGAGCCCGGAACTCTGCTGTGGGGAAGCCAGTTTCCAGCCGGAATCCGCAGCAGAGCGCCGCTTTCCGCTCCCTTAGTTGCTTGGTAACGCCGTCAGTGAAGTAGCAGAAAGGAGCGAGGGTGTCCCCCTGAAATTGGCCCCGCTAGGGCGACGAGGAGTGCTGGCCGGGCACGCATCCCGCCGGTCTGCGCTGGGATGATGCTGGAGCAGGACACCGGCCTCTCCTTGGCCATCGCTCAGATCGTGCAGCGGCTGAAGGGCTCCAGCCTCCATTCCCAGCTGGAGCGGCAGGCCCGGGTGAGCCCAGTCCCCGGCCCGCGGCTGCCCTCCCCCCGCTGCTTGCCTGACCCGCTGCATCCCCGCCCGTCCCTTCCTTCCATGCATCCGTCTCCCTTTCTGCTCCCCTCCGCCCCGGCCTTTCTCCGTGTCCCTCTCTCCATCCCCCCGTCACCCCTGCCACTTGTCCTCCCTTCCCTCCCTGGCTGGACGCACACGCCCAGCATTCGCCACGGACACTGCTGGGCGGATGCCGCAAGGCGGGGATGAACGTGGGGAACCTGTGCCTGTCCAGAGGAGAGGGAGTCAGACCTGCCCTAAACCTTTCACCCTTCTGCAGGGCCAGGAGACTCCCTGCTTAACTGTCAGGACAGTATTTATATCCTCACCCTCCGGGGAGGGAGGATTTCTCTGTGTATATTAATAATCTGGTTAAAGTCGCACTCATTCAAATTGCTCCACCAAATGAATTGGGTCGTTTTTTAATCCTTAATTTGGGATGCGGTTTTTTTTTAACTCCCTCTCCTCCTGCGGTTTCCCCTCAGAACATAAGGATTTGGTGAAAAGGAAGGAAAATAAATGAAATATGCACCAGAAAATGATGTTGTAATAATTGTGATCCTTTGTTCTCACCGGTATTCTCACTGCACTCTATATCCACTTTTAGGGTTTTTTTAGGTGTTCTTAAAGGCAAAGAGATGTTGTTTTAATATGTATCTCCTAAGTGGACATCCTGTCCTGTGGATTGTGGCGGAACAGCCACAAACATTATGGCCTGAAATGAATTTGTAGCCTAAAACTCTGTCTTCATGTATTTCCCGCCCTTCCCCCCGCTTTTTCTTGTGGATGACATCTTGTCGTATTGCTCATGGCAATATCTGTTTGCATGATCCTATTCTCTGTAGTTTCTTTTGAAACTCCAGTTTTTGTTACTATCTTTTTTTCTTTGTCTTTCTCTTGGCTTGGTAATAAAATCAATTAAGTCAATTTAACTTTTGTCTAGTTTATCAATTTTATTTTCAGGTTCTTAGTTCTGGGTTTCAAACTTTAAAAACATTATGAAAACATCTAATTTGGTATTACATTTTATAAAATCTTGGTTTTTGTTTTTGTTTTTTTTACAAAATTTCAATTGTGGACAATATTTAAATTGACAGTGTCCCTTATGTTGTATAAATGATGTTTTAGTGGATAAAACACATGGTTATTTGCCTTACTTTAGTATTCCTGTATTAGACAAGGCTATGTTCCGTGGCTGTCCACTTTTGACTTCCATGATTCATTGCTCTGTTGATTTAATTTATAGCTCTCAGATTGTTTGGGTTCTGTGTGGGATCATGCCATTTCACTTTTATGTCAGTGTAGGCTTCCGACTGATTGTTTGGGTTCTGTGTTGGACCCTGTATTATTTTTCTTTATATCTATTAGTGCTGTCCCCTGACTTTCATTGTTATTAAATAGTCTTGAAAGGATTAAATTTTTATTGATAAAAGTCCATTTCAATGTACACGCACAAACTGACAAAAAAAATTCCATCAATGATAAAGGTAATTTACAGATCGCCAAAGTAAGAAAAATGCTGCTTGCAAACTTTTTAGAATTTGATTTAATTATATTTACTTGGTATATTTTGACATATGATGTTGACAATTTGTGTATTAACAGTTATAAAGCTTAAACTTTTTGAACCTCAACATTTACTGTCATTAAGTAATTATTGTCTGACTAGCCATTGTCTAGCCTCCTACATAATTTCCCACAATTGTGAAATTTAAATAGATAAAAATAAAAAAACTTAAAAATAAAAATCTATATTATCCATCATAATTATATGCAATTGTTAAATATAATTTGTCTGCAGTTCCAGATCTGTATCTTCTGCTCTCTTGTTTATATAGATAAGTAAATGAACATAGTGTTGTAAGTGCTATGTAGGTCACTACCAAACACAAAAGAAGATTTATAATCTAAATATATAAGTGAAAACCAACAGTACAAACAGAACAGTACATAATGGCCACAGCCCAGTCTCTCTTAAAAACTTCACAGAATAGGTGGATTTTAGAAGTTTGTGGAAGGAGAAGGAAGGAGCTTGGTATATATTGGTAGGGAGATTATTCCAGTCATATGGAGAAGGTAAAGGAGACAAATAGGGTAAGAAGAAGGCAGATTGGCCAGAGTTTAAATATTGCGAATACTTAGGAGATGAGGGTAGAGTAGGATGAAGCTTTGTAAAGGTGAAGAGAGCAGCTTGAATTTGACATTATTTGATGTCTACCTACAAAAGCATTTCTAAATGTGATTAGCCATTTTGGGGGATTTGTAGTTTAAATGAATACTGACAAAGTTGAGGTAGTGTTTCTTGGTCCTGATTGCAATTGTTCCATCATTTATTCTTGCTTTTTAAGAGGTTACCTTTGGATCCTGGGTTTTTCCAGGAATATGTGCATTCTCTTTGATTCTGAGTTAATTTATGAACCTCACAATTATCCTCCCCTTACGAACAATATAGATCTCTCTTGTTTTATCTTTTCTGCCAAAACTCTGATCCATTTTCAAATTTTCTCTATACTGGATGGTTGTAATGGGTTTTTTGGGGAGGGATCCAGGCCTTGTCTGTTTTGTTTTTGTGATTTGTTGAATTTTGTTATTGTTAGTCTCAAATTACTGCCTAATCAGACCATTAAATTGACTAACTTTTGAAGCTGCAGATTGTGTACAAAATCTTGCTATTCTTATGCAAGACACCTCAACTCCTATTTATCTCTGAAACATGATCTATGTTCTAGTCTGCTTGTTAGTTACATTCTGTTTCTGACCTGAATGTTGTGGTATAAATAAATCTGTACTAACTGCAGAATTGAACCTCTCTACATGAAGCCAATTTTAGATAAATCTCAGTGATATTGAGATCTGTTTTGTTGCTGATATAAATTCTTCCAAGAGAAAACTTAACTTTTAGCTCTCATTTGTTTTTAAAAAATATAAAAAATCACTTTGGGAGTGCTGTGTAAATAACATTGTAAACCCTCAAATCACTCAAAATCCATTCTTCAAAATTTTGTATGCACATGCATGTGCATGTACAATATCTGACAAATGTCAGGATGTAAGTCAAGATATGTGTGTCCACATAATGCCCCTTTAAAATTAGTGTACAAATTTTTAGAGTTAGTGATATTTACTGAGCCTAATTAAAACATTGGGGAACTAATATTTAAAATAACAACAAAATTCTTGCTATACTCATTAATGTGTGTGGTTTTTTTTTAGTTCTAGCAGGCAGAGCTCAAAAAACAGTTTCTGTTGTCAGCTTACAGAACTTCTGAAAAAACTGGGTTGCTTAAGAATGACGTTTATGAATGTTGAGTCTTTGGATCTGAGTAGAGATACAAGTTGGTTATGTTTTTGGATACAAGAAGGAAAAGGGGATTGTAAAGAAGAGACAAGACTTCTCCTTTATTTCTTAAATTTTCATGTGTGATCTGTTACTTACAGTATTTAGGATAATTAAGTTGCCAAGCACATAGTGGAAACAGCAACTTATTTTACAGGATTCTTCAGCATCAAGTTGATGTGAGATGCTAGAACCCTGCATAAAAACTCAGAGTTATCTTTGATAATTCACTCTGATGGCAGATTAGCTCTAACCCAAGAGTATTAAAAAGCTTTGAATATACCTCTGAGCCACAGTAACTAGAAGGTAGGGACCAAAGGCTTGATTCACAAAGGGGACTTAAATGAACTCCTAAGTGCCCCTCCTGCCCACTGGAATTCATAGCCCACAGTTTGGCACCCAGCCTTCCCATACAGTGCATGGGGAGAGTTAGACACTTAAGAAAGGGATTCTCAGAAGCCAGCAAACTGAGCAGGCAGCTGCCTGAGCCAGCCACAAGTGAAATGCAAAGGAAAGGGACAAGGCTGAAGGGCTCAGATCCTCAAAGAGGCTTAGGTGCCTGACTGAAAGGCTGGAGAGCACTACTTCAGCTTTTCAGCCATGAACCCTCTCCTGGAGTTAGGTGCCTAAGCCAGGTCAGCCTCTTCCTCACAAAAAATGAGAGGGAGAGACACCCTTTCCCCCTCCCCGCCCCCCGCACACTAAAGCCAATAGCCCAGTGGTCAGGGTATTCACTTGGAATGTGGGAGACCCATATTCAAATCCCTGCTCTACCTGATTTGGAGCAGGGATGTGGACACAGGTTTCCCACAGCTCTAATGAGTGCCTGACCACCAGTCTATTGCCTGTAATGGAGTGGGTCTCTCTCAATCTCTTCTGTTAGAACTGTTCCACTGTATATAAATAATTTAAATATTCATTGGATCAGAGAGAGAGAGAGAGACCCTATATTCTGGGGCACTCACCTGTGATTTGAGAGCCCTGGCTTCAAGTCAATGCTCCAAATCAAGCAGAGCAGAGATTCAGACTGCGGTCTCCCACATCCTAGGTAAGTGCCCCAACCAAAGGGCTATTGAATACACAGGGGACAGACACACTTGTCCCCGTTGTCTTTTGACAAGGGTCTTAATCCACTGAAAAATATGGTTCCATTGAAATCAAATGCTTTGTGACATTGTGTAGAGTTTGCAAAAATTTTCTCTAAGAGAAAAATTGTGGGAAAAAAGTTCCTACAATGTTGAAATGCCCTGTTTTGACATTTTTGGAATGAAATGTTTTGATATTTCATTTTGAAATGACTTTTTACATTTTTTATTACATTATAATAACGTCAAAATCAAAATGAAATGTTTTGATCTGAAATAATTTGTCAGACTTTTGTGGAAAATTATGAAATTTTCTGGTTTCATTCTGATTTGAAATGAAGCCAAATATTGAAATCTGATAAACTTTTGTGAAATGGAATTTCCACCTCCATTGAGCGCTCATAAAAATTTGTTAATGATTGTGAGTCACTCAGAACCTACTGTAACCATAAAAATATCTGGCTGGATGGACAGATAGATAATTAAGAAAAAAAAGGCCCCAGCATTTCATTGGGGCAGAAGATTCATAAACTGTCCTT